GTCATTTTTATATATCCACCAACCCCTATTAAATGACTCAGCATGAATGCATTTTGGGCAGAATTCTATGATTCTATTTTGTATCTATAATGTCCAGCATTTGGTGGTTGACTCAAACATATATAAATGCACAGAAGAAAATATTTTCATGTATTGATGGCCTTTGAAATACTTTTCCTAATGATGCATTTTATTTTTTAAAAAGGTATTTATTTCATTTATATATAGGTTACCCTTCACTTGCACCTGTAAGAAACAACAAATGAGAAACTGTCTAAAAATAGTGACCTCACATCAGTGGAATGAGTACGTGTAGACTTATGGTGGCACTTTGCAGCATGGTGTGGGCTCAGCAAAGGGAAGGACAGACGGGCATCGCAGAGGGTCCAGGGTTTGCCATGGCAAAGGCTGGAGTTGGTGTTTATGAGGACACACTTTGCATTTCATTTAAAATAGTCATATATGCACATGCTAGAACATCAAACAACAAATCACGTCCTAACATGAAAGGTAAGTCTTTCTCCCACTTCCACCATCAGTTGAAAGCATTCATTACAGAAGTGTTGGCTCATACACAGGACGTTCTATATCCTACTTTCACACTTAATAAGACTTATTAGAGCTTCTTCCAGATCCATTCCTCATAAATAATGAGCATATAACACCAAGCCTTCACAGAGGAAAATAATTAACTTATTCGATGCTGAGACTAATGTTTATTGGCTGCCTACACAACATCCAGCAAGCAATATGCTAAGAGCTGGGAATGTAAATCAGCCATGTCTCTGTCTTCAGGAGCCCCTAAGCTCTCCCAATGCTTCAGTTGGCACCAAAGTGCTTTGGATAAAAGATGCTGTGTGTGTTTCGCTTTAGGTTCAGTAACAGAGTTCTGGATTGTCCATGGTTCTGCTTTCTGAGAGCAACTCTCTCTCTCCCAAGAGATCCTCCCCACCAAGAAATTGTGAAGGTCAGACCCACTTTAACTCTTTCTAAAGATCAGCTCTAGGCCCGAGAGCCAGGCAATTCGACTGGTGATGTCTTTATGTGGGTGGTTGCAATCAGGAAGGGAACTGGGATGCCTCTGTCCGTTCCTTATTTCAAAAACAATACAGCTGCTCAAAATTCTAAAACACCTTCTGTGTACAAAGGAAAACTTTAGTGTTGCTTGTATTTTATCTTATTTAGTCCTTACAATAGTTCTGTTAAGAAAAATGATTATGGTCATTTAACTGATGAGGAGACTGAGGTTCAGGTTCTAGGAATCACATAACTTCTCCAAAGTCATACAGATTGTGTGGTAGAATTAGGATTAGCACTCTAGTGTGACTACCTCTAACTATTTACCAAATCTCTGCTTACCATTCAGCTACCTGTGGGACTAAGCAGACCTTTCCTTCCTCTGCTCCTTGGACAATGTGCTCGGAGCACACTCAACAGTCTGTGTTTCTCTTTCCCTCTCACTCTTCTCCTTCTGTTCTGATTAATTCTGAAATAATATATAATCATGTAAATCATCTTAAGGATACACACATTCTACCAAGTTACCTCAGTGGAAAATGTCAACTAATGCTTTGTTTTGGCTAAATGATTTATGGTACAGATTCACATTCTAAGTAAGATAAATAAATCCCAGACACACAAAATCACCTTAAAAAATCCATGGTATCAGTGAAGTCTTTTCAGGATTAGCCCTTTTATTAAGCTTTAATAATTCTTCATGTGTTCGGTATTATATTCACCATGCTTTCTATATTTTTGTTTTGTAGTTACGGAGTATTTGGGGTAGCAGATTGAAAGAATCACATTTTACACAATTGTGTGGTGTTGCTTTGCTCAGTGGCCACATGTCTGCACTGTCACGCTGGTAGCTAATTCTGCACCACTCATTCTTTCAGGAATACGCTCTTTTTGGTATATGTGTGACTTCACAGACATAACTCCTTCTGTATCCAGGTGTGACAATACACCAATACATCTTCATGATGGTTTTAATTTAGTTTTATATCCCACATTGTTTTCAGGATGATTTCAGGGTGATAGTTTTTGTCAGACAAGGTGATACAGCCATAAAGATACTAGAAAATTCGTCTTCTCTTTGAATCTTATGGATTTCTTGGATTCTTCCCTGACTTCCACAGTATGGCAAAGTTGTCCTCTTTCTCCTTCTTGCAGGCTTGTGACAGCTTCTGTCTAGTTTCATCCTGAGTACCTAGCTCATACATCAGCAAAGGGCTTGTCTGTGCAGCAGCATGTCTCTGGACTATAACTTTAGATTTTGGAGTGAGTTTGTAAGTGCTAAAGTTTAAAAAGAGGAAGAGTTATAGTATCACTTCCAAAAATGATTGTGGCTATTTAGGAACAAATAACTTAGGTCTTCACTGTGGGTTGACAAACTGGGGTCCACAGGCCAAATTTGCTCCCTGTTGATTTGGGGAATAAAGTTCTATTGGAACACAGCCACAGCCATTTGTTCACTATTGTTTGTTGCTCATTTTGCACAACAAAGTAGTGAGCCATTGCCACAGAAACCACATAGCCCAAAAAGTCTAAAACATGTACTATCTGGCTGTTTACAAAAAAGTTGGCTCACCCTGATTATGCAATATGATGATTTACACATTGTCACTTTATAGGTTATCATGTGAAGAATTATATGTTCCCAGAATTTACTGTTTTAACACCGTATTCTCATTAATATAACAATGTATTCCCATTTTGGAATGCTAAACCTGCTTTATTTGTAATATTTTATTTCATTACTTATGGACAAAAGTATTATGACATATGTATAGTATATACATATCAATTAACCCCTGAAGATCAAATATTGATTTTTAAAAAATGAAAGAGTAAGTTGAAAAGTTCCAGAAATTAGAGTATACATGTTAGCATCCTTCCCCTTGATAGCTGTCTCGGGTTGACCCTCACATATTATCACCAAAGCTCCAAATGTGAGAAACTGTTGGTATGTAGTGGGGGCTGAACAGAACCTTCAATGTGAAATGCAGGTATCGGTTGTCCTTCTTGCTGTGAATGCCATAGAACTCAATCTAGGACTGTGGAGATGGTCAGGTAAAAGGCTCCTCTTGCCCCTAGAAAGACCTGTTCATTCGGGGCCTGGTTGGGGTAGTGGCAGCAGACACTACAGAGGAGGAACGGGCTCCAGGGCAAAGCAGGGTGGGATTGGGGCTGCCGGGTCCTTGAGATCCTGTTTTCTTCCTGGCACAAGTTCAGCTTGTTTTAGCTTTCTTGAAAATGGACGCCTCTCAAAATCAAGTGTGATGCCTCAACTGAGAAGCTTACTCAAGGCCAAGTGTAAATATGTATTTCTCTTTAAAAATTAGCTTATTAATTTTTGTTGGTCTTATTTAATTACTGGTGCATTTGAATACTTTATATTAAATTCCATTGAGATTCCTCATTTAAATGTGGACATCTGAGCCGGGCTCGGTGGCTCAGCCTGTAATCCCGCGCCTTTGGGAGACTGAGGTGAGTGGGTTGCTTGAGCCCGCGGGTTCGAGACCCGTCTGGGCAGTGAGATCTCATCTCTACAATAAATCAAAAAATCAGCCGGGCATGGTAGTGCATGCCTGTAAATCCGGCTACTCGGAAGGCTGAGGCAGAAGGATCGCCGGAGCCCAGCAGGTCGAGGCTGCGGTGACCAAGAGCGGCCACTGCACTCAAGTCTGGGTGACAGAGTGAGACTCCAACTCAAAAAATAAAATCAAATAAATAAATAAATGTGGACATCTGACTCAGTGCCATATATCATGTGGCCAATTCAATAAAGTCACATATCATATATCATATATCATGTGGCCAATTCAATAAAGTCACATTTAAAAATTAGACTCATATAAAATATTCTGTTAAATGTTCTTACATTATTACTAAAACTAAATGAGGTTAGATAAAACAAGATAGCTTACATGTATAAGACACCTACCATTCAGAAATTTTAACTGATTCTAAAGCCAAGTATGAGTTGACACTTAATGTAAATAAATTCCTTTTTGTTTGATTTGGTTTTGTTTCTTTTTTAAACCCAGGGAAATTTACAATTAAACATAATGCCTTCCCCAAACTTAACCAATGAGTGTAGTAATTTTCTTCAGGGAAAATGAATAGGATATAGACAAAAAAAAAAAATAATTAGAACAACTGTGACCTATTACAGCAGTTCATAAAACTCTTAAAGACTGCAGCACCCACAAGGTTGCAGCATATGGAAGACAATCCCAGCCTCTAATTTCCATGTATTAGTAAGTAGTTCTATTATCAGACAAGCAAATGGGGTATTCGGCAGACAAATAAATTACTATTGCACAGTGAACCTTAAAACGCATGTCACAGTTTTCCTTATAGAGTATTCTGAGAAATTAGCATTTTACCAGAATTTTCTTCTTTTTCTCCATCAAAGTAGCATGTATAAAACACACTTCTGAATGTGGGCACTAAGAAGCTAATACCAGAACTTCTAAAGTCATTCTCATTCACGTTCTGAAACAGACTTTGCAGGCTTTGAGATTTTAGCCACATGATATTTCTTTGGACCACTGACTCCAGGCAGCCATCAGCTGGCATGTGCCAACCTTATCTACTGTAACCCTCCAAACCAGAATCCGTACACTCTACTGACCAGTCCCTTCTGTGGCAGCGTGAGCTCTGTTTACAGTGATACTAAATGAACCATTTCCATTTGAGGGTACCGGCCATGGGCAATCCGGAGGACTCCTCACAACAACCACAGCAATGTACACATCATTCCTGCCCTATATAACTTCAATAGTGAGAACAATACATGCATCATCTGATTTAACTGTAAACGGCTCTAGCATGCATTATATTGAAGAGGGTGTACAACAGAACTTTTAACTGCCTCCCAAAAGCCATGAAGCACCAGGCAGCCAAGACAAAAGTGTTTACTCAGAGCAGAAAACAGGAAAAGCACCAGAGGATGTGACCCTCTAAGACAATCCCAGGAGCATTGTGCTGGGGTAGGTACCTGAGCTCATTCACTGGCTGGGTGATCTTTGGACCTGATACTGTTCCCTTCGGTGACCAGAGTTTGAAGACGCTCACTGGATGGGATTTCACCAGTTCTCCTCCAAGTTCATTCTCTGAGGACAGAACAACAACACCACAATAAATGAAGAGAGACGAGACCAAGGAGAGTCCGCCCCTTTCTATTAGACATACAGCAGGGTTATGTTTAAAGATAGCTATCTGGACATTAAGAAAACATTTAAATGATTTTACTGAGAAACCCTTTATGAAAGATCATAGTGGATAAGCAAAAAACCTTTTTGCACATTTGGTTAATTTATTTTGAAATTTAAGATATTTAGCAGTTTTAAATGCATGTCTAGGTTTGAAGGTAAAACTAAGCACACTTAATGTTTAGATTGACCCACTAACAGCCAATTTGTAAGATTATCACCTCATTTAATATTTGCATGCAATTAGGAAACAATTTAATAAGGGATAAATATTTTGGATGTTTGTTTCTTGGAAATAATGCAATTTCATTCACAAAAGAATATAGTTTGTTGATGGCAAGGGTATTTCCAAATGTCAGCTCAATTTCATCTTATTATAACAACAGAAGTCATTGTATTCATTAATAAAAACTTAGAAAGTATTTATTAAGTTTCTATCAAGTTTATCTGCAATATTGTCTCAGTATTAGAAACTATTGACTATTCTAATGTGAAGAGAAAATACCAATCCTATTTCAAATTATACTGTCAAAGACAGAATTTATTTCGTTAAACAAAATGATGAAATAGAAAATCAGAAAGTAAGGGAACTAGGTTCCTCAGTTGGAGAAGCCATTGTTTCTGGCGCAAACCTTCAAATTCAGAGACACTCATTAAATTGCATCGGTGGCAATAACAGACAAGTGCTAATGGGCATCAGTGAAGTGTGTCAGGAGAATGAAGAGACCCTTAGGGACTCCTGTGCTGTTTATGATAAGCTAGATGCAGTGGTATTACCATAAATCCTCTAAAAGATACTATACTCCACTTCTTGCATGTTACCTTGCAATAAAGATGATATTCAGAGTGCTTAGCAAGTAGGACTTGAAATAAGACGACACACGATTTCCTAAGAAATACACAGACAGCCTATAAAATGCAAACATTACAAATTTTATTATTGCCCCTAATAAGAATTTACTAGAACAAATGCATAAAGAATAGAATAATTCAGAAATATGTAAAAGAAACCAGAAAGGATTTAGAATTACCCTAAAAATCAAGGCTGAAAATTTGAATGAGAGTTAGTGTATTTATTTTGTGTCAAAGTCTAGACTAATTAATTTAAAATGGTAACATTTTAAAATATATTTAGCTTTGAATACAAATTATGATTTGGAGTTTTACTTAGAGCAGTGTATAGCTATCTACACTGGAAAATACAAGAGAAGGATGTGTTTGTGGCCTTTTCTTGTTCACAAATACCCAACACACACACACACACACACACACACACACACACACACACGCATGCACACAAGAAATTCTTGCATTTTTCTCAACATTATTGTTCTTTTAGTTACAGTTGGTTTGTACGTTTAACTTTTACGTGACAAAGACAAATGCCCTCAAGCATTTTTACTTCAGACATATCACCTAGATTCAGGGGCATTCATCCAGGACAAACGGTGGCTTCGATACCCTCAGTCTTGCTCTCTGATCACTAATGCTCACAATTCAGAGCCCAAGTCATTGCAAGACAGGCACAGGTGTGACAGCACATATGTATTTTCTTTTCTAGACACCACAGAGTGTGAGGAAGATGAATATGTGCTTAGTAGGTATTTACTGCAATCTAGTCACCTTTATTTGAACTTTCTGAAAGGGATTTTTGCTTCCTCAATCAGAGTCTATTAAGGCAACCAACAAATAAACTTAAAATTATTAATTTTGAAATTATAATTTAAAAATATATCTATTAATTTTCATTAAGTACTATTAACTGTATAAACTATTATTATTTCTGTATTAGCAAGACACACCTCAGCCTGTCTTGGTGTGAACATTTGTTGAATGAATGACCTTCTCTGAAGTTCAGATTCTCTATTTGACAAGAATAGGGCTGGGCTAAGAGTTTAAGGTGTATCTTTTAGCACAAAATTATTTTACCAAGAATCCCCAATGCCTTGCTGTGGCATGTGATCATAATCTCTAGGCACTGAACCATTTGTAGAAGAAGTGTGGCACTTCCATTTTGTAGACTGACTCTAATCTCCTTTCTATGCTTGTTAATTCATTGAATTCCTAATGTTAAATGGTATTAGGAATTGCCGTACAAATGCCTTTCTCCCCGAGAAGTGCCTCTAAAGCAGAGCACTGCCTAGGACACGAATGAGCACGTCCGTCTTTCTCCAGCCTCTTGTGACCGGGATGTACCCCATTCATTCTGGTCGGACCCAGAACAGAAAGGAGGCAGCTCCTGGTGTCACCACTTAAAGTTATGGACACTTGTCCCTGTCATGGTTGCTTTCTAAGATTTCATATTGTCAAGATGACATTCTGTTGAACTAAGTTTTTTTCAATGGCACGTGTGTGTGCCTGTTTGGCAAGCTGAATCACTGCTGCAGGCTTCGCTACCAGTGGAAATGGTTTTGGCTTTTTGTTTGTTTCTCGCCCTGGAAGTTTTATGTACGACTAGTTTAAAAAAATGAAGGATGTGTTTTGACAGTGCTCCTTTTTCAGACTCATAACACTGAACAATAAGAACCAGAAAATTGCCAGCCACAGTGAGGAGCGGGCAGAATCTTTCTCAGTGACCTGAAACAATTTCAGGTGAGACCTCTCAAAGGGATTCAGAGGACGCCTAGACCTAGTTCTGTGCACTTTCCTGGACCCTCGCTTCAATACTGTCTGAACAGGAAGACTGCTTTTAAAAGGTCTTCTGTGTACTTCAGTGATCCAATTTGGGATTCATAATGGTCAGAGAAGACAGTGCATCACAGCTGCCAGGCTGGAGCAGAGTTCTGGCCATCTCTGTGTCCCCGCCGTGGTTTGCACATACACTTTCTGCTCTTCTGCCTTTTTTCTAACTCCTCCATCTCTGTTAATCGCTGTGAGAGCCTGCTGCTCAGGGACTGGGTGGGAATGAATAAATTGCTTGTACTACCAGGCACATAGTAGGTTCTCCATTAGTCTTTCTTGGCTGAATAAAGAAATATGCTTTTTTTGTGCCGAGTTAAGTATATCTTAGTAAAACCAACCCCTTGCTTACATTCTTTATTTTAGAATATGCTCATGAGAGAGCAATTCAGCTTCTAGTTGAATACAAGATTTAGAGCAATATCCACTCTCAGTTTTTCAGAGAAAGAAAAAAATGATCATTTTCAAAAGATAAAGATGATAGGCCAGGCATGGTGGCTCAAGTCTATAATCCCAGCACTTTGGGAGGCCAAGGTAAGAGGATTGCCTGAGCCCACAGGTTCAAGAACAGCCTGGGCAAATTGATGAGACCTCATTTTGGCAATAAATAAAAAAAATTAGCCGGGCTCGGTGACACATGCTTGTGGCTCCAGCACTCAAAAGGTTGAGGTGGAAGGATAACTTGAGTCTAGCGGGTCAAGGCTGCGGTGGCTGTGAACTTGCCACTGCACTCCAGCCTGAGTGACAGAGAGAATTTGACTAAAAAAAAAAAATATATAAAGATGATAATATAGATAAGGAAAAGAAATATATGATAAAAGAAGTAAATAAATTAAGCTTCCTAAGAAGAAATAGTAAAAAATCAGAAGAATGGATGCAAATTTTTGAATTATCCTTCTTCTCACTTAGAAACGCTATGCACCTCTTCTTTCATGCATTCAGGTATAAATCAACTATATACTTGTCAGATGATTCCAGTTATTTGGAGTGTGAGAATGTATTTTTGGTAATTAAAAAGGTTCACTTCTACCTCTAATAAGAGGATTCTCGAAGCTCAGTTTTTTCAGTAGATCACCTATGCAATATCAATATCAATATTCAGAACATACCCTCAATCTAAACTTCTAAGTAACAGACCATTGATTCCAACATGTTAACTGACAAAATAAGAGGATACCGGTAAATGTAATTTGCAATTTATGGCTATGTATAGATAAACAATCATATGCATAGTCTATTCTCTAGTTTACTAGGTATTCCTAAATTTAGGTACCTAAAGCTGCCATTTTATTGATTCTCAAAAATAACACTAGAAAGAAAACTCACATTTGCCACTGTGGCTTGGAAAAGGCCAGCAGGACTCTCAGTACAGAGGAAGAAACACAGAAGGCTTCATCCTGTCTGTTGTGCGGTGGTGATTATGTGGATTCTGGGGATATAAATGTGCAAATGTTAACCTAACAATTCCAGTTCCTGGTATCTATCAAATTTGTTTTAGTCACATGTGTACATAAATACATGTATGGAATTTTTAGTGCAGTATTGGGTATAATCAAAAATTTTAAAATCATCAATGGTAGTATGCTTAGATTATTTGTGGTACATTAATAATTTAGGATTGCTTACAATGTACTGACAAGGCAGGCTCATCAAGATGTATAGTGGCCGGGCATGGTGGCTCACACCTGTAATCCCAACACTTTGGGAGTCAGAGGGGAGAAGATTGCCTGAGTCCAGGGGTTCAAGATCAGTGTAAGCAACTTGGTGAGACCTTGTCTCTACAATAAAATTTTTTTTAAAGAAGCCAGGCATGGTGGTGCATGCCTGTGATCCCATCTACTTAGAAGGCTGAAGCGGAAGGATTGTCTGAGCCCAGCAGGTCGAGCTTGTGGTGGCCGAGATCATGCCACGGCACTCCAGCCTGGGTGATATAGTGAGACTCTTGTCTCAAAAAAAAAAAGATGTATAGCAAAGGGGTTAAAGACTGCTAAAGACTGGTGCAGAGATGAATGTACAGTGTTGCCTCATTCAAGTACAATGGACAAACCAAGAACCCAGTGATGCACCCTATATTTACATGTGAATGTATGTCAATCAGAGAACACTGCCAGGAGTGATACAGATCCAGTGGCTGATGGAGATGAGCTTCGGAGGAAGGAGTGTAAACCAAGGACTTTCACTTCCTACCTTAGATACTTCTAATTATTTTGTTTTATATAAAT